GGCCATCCTTTCGATAGGGCCGAAATAATCACTGAGTAGTATTGTTTTGTGTATTTTCTCAACGATTTCCTCGATATCCTGGACAGTTGCATCTGTCAATCCGGTTAACTTCACCATTGACTGAACACGTTTCTAGTGATGATGTAGTTTATCGAGAACATAACTCGAGATTTAGATTTTGTTCACGTTTACATTGACGATTTGCCTATCGCCTCTTCCAATGTAGATGAAAATTATCACCATTTGACTTTGTTATTTCAACGTTTATGTGATGAAAGTATTGTAGTCAATCCCGATAAATGTGAGCTTGGCAGAAAGCAACTGATTTTCCTTGGCCACAAGGTCACACATGAGGGAATTTTACCATGCAATGATAAAGTACGTGCTATTAGAGAGTACACATCACCATCCTCAGTCGACCTGAAGGCGTTTTTCGGTTTAGTGAATTTCTATGGACGATTCACTCCACACGCCGCTCAACGGCTGCAACCTCTTACAGACCTACTTCGTGGTAATCCACATAAGCTCTTGCTTACGGATGCCGCACGAGTAACATTCCAAGAGGTAGGGACATATTTAGCGCAGACCACGCTACTTTTGCATCTTGTACCATCAGCCACGCTTAGTATAGCGGTTGATTCTTCAGAATTTGTAAACCCTACCCGGATAGACTTCGTTTTCTCAACCATGATAGCTTGGGTCTCTGACTATCTGTGCGACCGAACCTTTCGAGTTCGAGTGAACGGCGTCCTCTCAGATAGGGTTGGAGTGCCCCAGTGCTCTATCTTAGGCCCCAGACTTTTCACAATATTTGCGAACGATATCCCCGTCGCATGCAATCAGACCTACTGATGTATGCAGACGACATTAAGATCTGCCGGGAGATCCAAACCCCATTAGATGAGCGCACCCTGCAAGAGGACCTAGACAGGATTTTACCTGGTCGGTCGCAAACGGGCTGCCATTAAACATCGACAAATGTAAGGTCATGCACATTGCAGGGCATTAAGCGAACGACTACTTGCTGGGAGGTAGAACACTGCAGAGGGTCAGGCACGAAAGGGACCTGGGCACAGTGATTACTGACGATCTGTCCCAGCCAACTAACTGCCACACAGAACCAGAGGGCAATGTTCAAACTCAACCAACTCAGTCGACTCTTGGGGAAATTCACAACAGAGTCTTTCCGAGAGATTTTTACCACCCTCGTTTAGCCACATTTGGAGACCAACATCCAGGCGTGCCCGCCGCTTCTTAAAAGGGATGTCCACGATAATGAGCGACCACAGCGGAAAGCCACGAAACGAGTAGAGGGTTTATCACGCACACCCGACCCGGATAGACTTCGTTTGCTCAACTTGTACAGCATGGAGTATAGTAGGGTAAGGGTCGACCTGATCCTCCTGAGGGACGCGCTCAACGTTCAGGGGCACCCCAACAAACATCTGTTTGCGATGGCCCCTCTGTCAGCACTGTGCGGCCACTCCATGAAACTGGAACTCAATGCCAGCCACAGTGGTCCAGGCTAAAACTAAACAGTCGTTCAGGTCAGGTCAGGTTGCACAGGACTGAATATGGCCACGGCCAATCGAGCGTCCAGA